GGTTTCTTGTTAAATTTAAGATTGGTTTTTGATTATTAGATGATAACTAAGCTTAAGGAAAGCTTAAGTTATCTTAACATCAAAGGATGATGGAGTTAGGAGAGATTTAAGATTTGAAGTTCTTAAATGAAATCTTGGAATAGAGTTCATAACTAGAATTGAAAACTAAATTTGACTTGTCATCAATCTAGTTAAGATATACGAAGTGTTAAAAGTGGAATTCAAACATGTTGAATTATTGATGTAATTCTTGAATTACATATGAAAGATAGGATTTGGAGGTTTAAGATGAAATAAATGAGTAGAAATTGGTTTAAGGATGTGTACTATAGTTAAGAATGAAAAAGGGGATTAAACATGAAGGATTTAATCCAAAATGAATGAATTTTCGGGTTCAAAAAGAGGATTCTGGGCAGAGTGCATCGATGCATATTCATAGTGCATCGATGCACTATTTTAAAATAAAAACATCGAATGCAATTAGTGCATCGATGCATAAGGCATGCATCGATGCATCCCATTAATAATAAAACATCGAATGCATTTTATACACCAATGCACAAGTAGTGCATCGATGCATACCTTCATTAAAAGAGGAAATTGGTATTTATCTTAATCTAAAGAGTGAACCATTAGAGTATATTAGCTATAATACTGATATAGATCCATGTGTGATTATGTAGATACTAAAAGTAAGCTTATTCCAGAACGATCAAATGATTAGAATCGAATCAAAGCAAAGCTAAGGTGAGTGCATACTATATGTATAGTATAATGGAATAAGACTTGTGATAAGTCTAATCTTTATATTGATTTTCATAGTACAATAGTTGTGAACATGCATACATGATAATTATTGTAATACATGCATAAGGCATATATATGTTCATGTGATTGGATAAATGATATATATATATATGAATAGATTCAAATACACATGTGATATGATGTGTGATATGAGAACATGACATGAAGTAAGTGACATGAGCTACATGATCACAAGAGAAATGACATGAGTACATGAACATATGAAATATAAGAATAATGCCCATAGTATACGATATGAGAGCTATAGGTGTAATTGGCATTCCAAGAGTCGAGGGTATAATAGTCCTTCGGGATGTAGTGGTCCTACGGGACATATATAACAGTCATTCGGGACGAATACTGAACTAAGGTTCGGTGTCCCATGAGGGAATTGATACGAGCTGTGGTGACAGCATTAGTGCACAACCTCAATGTACTCACATACCTCTATTCTCAATAATATGCATGGGCAATTGAAATACAAAGTAAAGTGAAAGTGGTACAGGAAGGTAAGTTTCGTACATGCATGATATGATTATATATGTTATTTTGTAATAGATACATGCATATTGAAATGTCATGAAGGAAATGGTAAGAATGCATATTCATGAAGATATTGTTGCATATTCATTTATTGTCTCACTAAGTCTATGACTTAGCGTGTAAGTGATTTACACCTAGGTACCAAGAAATATGAAGATTCAGAATAGAAGTGGCACGAACAACAACATTACTAAGAAATCAGATCAGAAGTAATTAACAAAGTATGTATTTTGTTATGTATAGAGTGTTGATATGTAATAAGTGGTTAATTACGAATGCTCTGATCGATTTTGTATTAAGTGGTCTCTTTTTATATAAATTAAAGTATTTTGTTTTAATGAAAGTTTTAAATTTCTCTAATTTTTTTCTTTAAGAATCAAAGTTTGAAAAGTCAATGTGATATCTCGGACTTGTATTCGGGTCAAATATGTATCAGAGCTACGGTTTAGTCGATTCTCGATATAAACCAGAGTCTAGAGTGTCTGATAATGTATACATACCAACAAAATAGTGGAAACTTCTGATCTGATGGAATAGTAAGTATGTTGTTTTGCTAATAGAACTATATGGTTGTATTTTTATAGATGTCTGGACGAAGTAGTTCTAGGAATGAAGCGGGAGATGATAGACCCGCTGAAAGTAGTAATTCACCTGCCCTGGCCAGGCAGAGTGAAGAACAGACATCCTCTAGAATGCCTGTAAATGATAAAGATATATTCTTTAGAACGTTAGACGCGGTATTGACGCGTTTCCAACCTCCTGTTACTTTAACTCCAAAAATGAATATTGTGAAAGAGTTGAAGGGATTAGGAGCTCCAGAGTTTAGAGGGGAAGCCGATGAAGGTCCTGTTACTGCGGACCTTTGGCTTAATGACGTGAAGGTCATGCTTTCGGGACTTCATTGTTTCGATGCTGAGAAGCTGGATGGAGTAATTTCCTTGTTGAGAGGACAAGCAAAGATCTGGTGGACCAATGTTACATTGAGGATGTCTAACGCCCAAGTAACTTGGTCATTGTTTTTAGAAGAATTCAAGCATAAGTACATCGGAGATCAATTTGTTCGTCAAATGAAGCAAGAGTTCATGAATCTGAAGCAATGAAATCACACTGTATATGAGTACGAGTGTGAATTCAATAAGTTGAGCCGCTTTGCTGCCGAGCTAGTTCCTACGGAGAAGGATACTTGTGAGTGGTTTGTAGAGGGGTTACATCCTTGGTTGAAGGAAATGTTAATTGTCTTGAATTTATCCTAGTTTCAAGAGGTAGTCAACCGTGCCAAGGCTCTGAAAAGAGCTCAGAATGAGAGGTTTGAAAATTTGAGAGCTTAGACAGTCAAAAGAATGGGTGCTTCTTCGAGTTCCGCACTATCAAAAAGTGGCAGAGATGCTGGTTTTCGACCCCAAGTTAGATCAGAGTCTGTGGCATCCTCCGCTAGAGGATCAAATCAGATGAGAGGTAGACAAACTCAGTCAGTGGGATATAGAGTTGGGAGATCTAATCAGAGTCAAGCTAGACAATGCCCACATTGTGGAAAGAATCATTCAGGGATATGTCAGATGATTTTTGGAGTCTGCTTTAGATGTGGGGACGATGGGCATTTTGTTCGGGATTGTCCAATGTTAACTAGTAAATCTACACAGCCAGATAAGATCTATTTCTGCAGGCCAGAGAGGAAGAGGTAGAGGCAGAGAAAGAAGCCAATCGAAATCCTTTGTGCAACAAGAGATACACTCCACTGCTCGAGTGTAGAACCTCAATACCAATGAGGATTGTGATGACCCAGATATTATAACAGGTACCTTTCTATTGTTTGACAAAGGTGTTATTGTATTGATTGATACGGGGTCTACATATTCATATATTACTAGTAAGTTAGTGAAAGAATTTAACATTCCATTAGAAACTACTAGTAATGAGGTGATAGTGACGAACCCATTAGGGCACAGTGCTCGGGTAAATATGGTGAGTCGAGGATGTCCCATACGAATTCAAGGAATTGAATTCCCTGCTAATCTGATGGAATTACCTTTTGACGAATTCGAAGTGATACTAGGAATGGATTGGTTATATCGTTATTACGCTAATGTCGATTGTAGATTGAAAAAAGTGACGTTAAGAAGTTCATAAGGGGTAGAGGTTATTGTATTTAGTGAAAGATGGAATCCATTAGCAAATGTGATCTCAGTGATGACTGCAAAGAAATTATTGCTACAGGGATGTCAAGGGTTCATTGCTAATGTGTTGGATGTTAGAACCAAGGAGAAAGAGATTGAAGGAATTCCTATAGTCAGAGAATTTCCCGATGTATTTCCTGCAGAGTTGTTAGGTTTACCTCCGGACAGAGAGGTAGAATTCCAGATTGAGATAATATCGGGAACAGCGCCTATTGCAATGACACCATACATGATGGCTCCAAAAGAGTTGCAAGAATTAAAGATTCAATTATAGGAGTTACTAGACAAAGGGTTTATTAGACCAAGTGTATCACCTTGGGGAGCTCCAGTTCTATTTGTTAAAAAGAAAGATGTATCAATGCGTCTTTGTATCGATTACAGACAGCTCAATAAAGTGACAATCGAGAACAAGTATCCACTTCCCCAAATTTATGATTTATTTGATCAATTAAAAGAAGCTTCAGTGTTCTCAAAAGTTGATCTACGTTCGAGTTATCATCAATTAAAGATTCAAGAGAAAGACATTTTAAAAATGATGTTTAGAACAAGATATGGTCACTATGAGTTTATCGTGATACCGTTTGGAGTTACGAATGCACTAGCTACTTTTATGGATCTAATGAACAGGATATTCCAACCTTATTTGGATCAGTTTGTTGTGGTGTTTATTGATGATATTTTAATATATTCAAAGTCAGAAGAAGAGCATAGTTCATACTTACAGATTGTTTTACAGATTTTACGAGACAAGAAACTTTATGCTAAATTTTCTAAATGTGAATATTGGTTGAATGAAGTGACATTCCTTGGACATGTAATTTCTGCAGAAAGAATTCGAATGAATCCCCAAAAGATTAAAGCTATTCTAGAGTGTGAAGTCCCAAAGAATGTATCAGAAGTTAGAAGTTTTCTGGGGTTAGCTGGTTATTATCGAAGGTTCGTTAAAAACTTTTCGATCATAGCATTACCCCTAACTAAAATATTGAAAAAGGAAGTAAAATTTGTTTGGACTCAAGAATGTCAAGAGAGTTTTGAAAAGTTAAAGAAGATTCTTTCAGAAGCTCCAGTGTTAGTTCAACCTGAGTCTGGCAAGAACTTTATAGTGTATAGTGATGCGTCTCATAGTGGTTTGGGATGCGTATTAATGCAAGAAGGCAAGGTGGTGGCCTATGCTTCGAGACAACTAAAATCGCACGAGAAGAATTATCCAACACACGACCTAGAGATGGCGGCTGTAGTGTTTGATTTAAATATCTAGCGTCACTACTTGTATGGTGAAAAGTGCTACTTGTATACGGATCACAAGAGCTTAAAATACTTGATGACTCAGAAAGAGTTGAATTTAAGACAAAGAAGATGGGTGGAATTTCTTAAGGATTATGATGTTGTGATTGATTTCCATCCCAGAAAGGCAAATGTGGTAGCTGATGCCTTGAGTATAAAGACGTTTGCAGCTTTGTGAGCTCTTGATGCTAGATTATCGTTAAGAGAAGATGGTGCAATCTGTGCAGAACTGACTGTCAAGCCATCATGGCTAGATCGAATTAAGAATTGCAAGCTAAAGATGGAAAGTATTTAAAGAAGATACAACAGATAAAGAATGGAGAGGGTACGGATTATGAGACTAAGTCTGATGAGAACTTGTATTATCGAGAAAAATTGGTAATTCCGGATGATGATGAATTAAAGAATGATTTGTTAACGGAAGCTCATTGTAGTCCATTGACAATGCATCTGGGAGGGAACAAAATGTATATGGATCTCAAGAGTCGATATTGGTGGCCGGGAATGAAGAAAGACATTACAAAATTTGTATCAAAGTGTTTGACTTGTCAACAAGTCAAAGCTGATTATCAGGTTCCGTCAGGATTGTTACAACCAATTTCAATTCCTTAATGAAAATGGAAAAACATAACGATGGATTTTGTGACGGGGTTGCCTTTAACTCCGAACAAAAAGGATTCAATCTGGGTGATCGTAGATAGATTGACTAAGTCAGCCCATTTTATTCCAGTACGAACTGATTTCTCCATGGATAAGTTTGAGGAGCTGTATATTAGAGAGATTATACGTATGCATGGTGTACATATTTCCATAGTTTCTGATCGAGATCCTAGATTCACATCACGGTTTTGGAAGTCATTATATGGAGCATTGGGAACTCGGTTGAACTTCAGTACATCGTTTCATCCTCAAATCGATGGTTAATCCGAGCAAACTATTCAAATTCTGGAGGATATGCTAAGAGCTTGTGTCATTGAATTCAAAGGATCGTGGGAAAAGTATTTACCACTTGCTGAATTTGCGTACAACAATAGTTATCAGTTAAGAATCAAAATGGCTCCCTATGAAGCTCTATACGGAAGAAGATGTTGTATGCCCTTAAACTGGTATGAACTTAAGGATCGAGAAGTTATTGGTCCTGAGTTGATTCAGAATACGGAAGAAAAAGTTAAAGTAATTCAGAATAATCTGAAAGCTGCAGCTGATAGACAGAAATCGTATGCTGATTTAAAAGGAAAGAGATTGAATTTCAAGTTGGAGATAAAGTGTTCTTGAAAGTGTCTGCGTGGAAGAAAGTATTGAGGTTTGGATGGAAAGGAAAGTTGAGTCCTCGATTCATTGGACCTTACGAGATTACTAAGAGAGTAGGACCAGTAGCATATCAGCTAATTTTGCCACCTGAAATGGAAAAGATACACAATGTCTTTCATGTCTCAATGCTTAGGAAATATCGATATGATCCATCCCACATTGTGACTATTGAAGAAATTGAAGTTCGATCAGATTTAAATTATGAGGAAGAACCTGTTCAAATATTAGCTCACGAAGTCAAGCAACTAAGGAACAAGACTATTCCATTGGTTAAAGTCTTGTGGAGGAATCACAAAGTAGAGGAAGAACCATGGCAACGTGAAGAGGACACGAGGACCCTACCTCTTTGCATAATGAAAATTCGAGGATGAATTTTCTTAAGGGGGAGAGTTGTAACATCCTCAATACCGGGTTAGTGACTAAATTGTAAAGTCTCAGAATTTGGTGGTTAAAATAAAATGAATGAATAGTATAAAGAATTACATGTAAATTATTATGTATGATGGAATCGAAAGGAATAAGGAATGGAAGGACAATAGAGTAATTGCAAGGAAAAATAATTAAAGAAAGGATAAGTATATATATATAAGGATACACGTGGGTTGAAGGGGAGAAAACACCCAAGGCTTCCAGAGTTCTCTTCTTCTTCTTTCTTCCTTGTGTGTGTGAACCAAAGCAAAGGTAAGATTTCTGATTATTGAGTTTCTTGTTAAATTTAAGATTGGTTTTTGATTATTAGATGATAACTAAGCTTAAGGAAAGCTTAAGTTATCTTAACATCAAAGGATGATGGAGTTAGGAGAGATTTAAGATTTGAAGTTCTTAAATGAAATCTTGGAATAGAGTTCATAACTAGAATTGAAAACTAAATTTGACTTGTCATCAATCTAGTTAAGATATACGAAGTGTTAAAAGTGGAATTCAAACATGTTGAATTATTGATGTAATTCTTAAATTACATATGAAGGATAGGATTTGGAGGTTTAAGATGAAATAAATGAGTAAAAATTGGTTTAAGGATGTGTACTAGAGTTAAGAATGAAAAAGGGGATATGAGACAAACTACAAGTCACTCATGAAGGCACCGACGAGGTAAAAGAATATAAAATTAGTCTTCTAACTCATAGCTATGAAAATTTCCAGGATGAAACTGGATGAAGACATCAAAGCTATGACAGATAGATTTTCCATAATTGTCAATGGTCTCATATCATATGGAGAGATCATTCCAAATGAAAAGCTTATGAGGAAGTTGATTTACTCACTTCCAAAATCTGGCAATCAAAGAAGACAACAATCATCGAGGCTAAGAACTTAAAGTCCTTAACTCTTGAAGAACTAATCGGTTCATTCCTCACTCATGAAATGATGCTTCAAGATGAGGTAGACCTCGATAAGATTGATGAGACACCAAAGAAGAAGAAGAAGAATGTTGGAGTTGCTCTCAAATCCACAAAAGATGAGAGTGATTCGGATGAAGATGACGATGAGGAGGAAATGACATTATTTACCAAACGGTTCAGAAAATTAATGAGGCCCAACCGAGGAAGAAAATTCAAACGAAATGAAGGCTTCAAAACTGAACCAATTGAGAAGGACCCGATCATTTGCTACAAATGCAAAAAGTCGGGGCATGTCAAATACGATTGCCCTCAATTGAAGAAAAAGGGTCAATCCAAGAAAAAGCACAAGGCTCATGTGTCTACATGGAGCGATGAAGAAGGCTCCGATGAAGAGGAACAAGAATTAGCAAATTTGTGCTTGATGGCATTCGAGGAAGATTCTAAGGTAACCTCTAACTCATTCGATTCGGATGAATTATCTTATGATGAGTTATTAGAGGATTATAATGGGTTGGCTTCAGATTATAAAACTTTATTTTCAAAATAAAAAATGATATTTCAAAATTAAAGAGTGAAAATAGTCTTATGTCCAAAACCAACAATCATCCTGAAAGTAGAATAAAAAATTTGCAAATCAAACTAGAAGAGTTTGAAAAGAAAATTTTTTATTTGCAAAATTTACTTTCAAAGCTCAATGATGATCATCAAAAGAAAGTTGATGATCTTAAAACTTCTTTTGATAAAGTTGGAACAAAACGTTCTGAAAATGGAGAAAAATCAAAATCCAACTTTGTTAGAAAAAGTTTTAAAAACTAAAATCATAGAGGTCCCCAAAGAACCTCCAATGGAAAAATCGTTAGAAGTATATGGGTTCCTAAAGAACTCATTACTACTAAAGATAAGGATATCCTACACAAATGGATACCTAAGGGGACTAGGATTTTGGAAACTAATGAATATGGACCCAAAAGATTTTGGGTACCAAAAATCAAAAATCAATATATGTTTGTAGGAAAATGAGCATTACTACAAGACACGAGAAACAAATTCAAACTCATAGTACCTTGATAGTGGATGCTCAAGACACATGACCGGAGACAAAAGCCGTTCATAGAGCTCAACGCGAAAAATGGAGGAGATATGACTTTTGGTGATAACTCAAAAGGTCACATTTGAAGGTATAGACACTATAGGTAATACCACTTCCATACAAATTAAGAATGTTTTATATGTGAATGGATTAAAGCATAATCTATTGAGTATTAGTCAATTGTGCGATAAGAGATTCAATGTTATGTTTGATATTAATAGTTGTAAAATCATTGACATTGCATCTAATCGGATTATGCTTGTTGGTCATAGAATATGAAATATCTACATGGTGCATTTAGATTCTATAAATATGACTAATTTATGCCTAGTTGCTAAAGATGAGCATGATAGTTGATTATGGCATAGGAGACTAGGACATGCTAGTATGAGTGTTTTGTAACGACTAATTCAAGAAGACTTAGTTAGAGGGTTGCCATAGCTAAAATTTGATAATGATAAAATATGTGATGTTTGTGCTAAAGGAAAACAAAAGCGAGTTTCTTTTAAATCCATTAATGGCGTATTCACTAGTAGAGTATTACAATTGATCCATTTAGATCTTTTTGGCCCATCTGGAACTACTAGCTTGGGTGGAAAACAATATGCATTTGTATTGGTAGATGACTATTCTAGATATACTTAGGTTCTATTCTTAAGTACTAAAGATGAAGCATTAGAAAAATTCATCACGTTTTCAAAAGTAATCCAAAACGAAAAAGGTTACTCTATAACTAGTGTTAGAAGTGATCATGGAACTGAATTTGAAAATCTTGGGTTTATTGAATTTTATGATTCTAATGGTATTAGCCATAATTTTTCAGCACCTAGAACCCCTCAACAAAATGGAGTTATTGAGAGGAAAAATCGAACTTTAGAAGAAATGGCTAGAACCATGCTTTGTGAAAACAATTTGCCAAAATATTTTTGGGCGGAAGCCACAAATACCGCTTGTTATGTTATTAATCGAGTAATCATTAGGCCTATTTTGAAGAAAAATTCATATGAACTTTTTAAAAATAAAAAGCCTAACAATAGCTATTTTCATCTTTTTGGATGTAAATGTTTTGTTTTAAACAATGATAAAGACAATCTTGGCAAATTTGATGCTAAAAGTGATGAATGAATTTTTCTGGGTTATTCCTTAAATTCTAAAGCTTATCAAGTATTTAAAAAAAGAACTTTAGTTGTAGAAGATTCTATACATGTTGTTTTCTATGATAATCCCCTTCCGAGGAAGGATTCTTGTGTGAATGATAATGTAGGTATTATAAACATAAATGACATTGGACATGACGTTGGAGAACCATCATCAAAAGAAGAAACAAAATATGAGGAAACTCAAGATCCTCTCGAGAATCCAACCATTGAAGAAAGGGAAGTCTCTTACCCAAGGGAATACAATTATGTCAATGATGGTGAAATAATAGGTGATCCATCCAAAGGGGTAACAACTCGATCTTCTCTTAGAAATATTTGTAATTATGTTGCATTTATCTCATGCATAGAGCCTAAGAATATTAAAGAAGCAATTAAATTAAATCAAATGGATGTTAAAATTGCATTTTTAAATGGTTTTATAAAAGAAGAAGTGTATGTGGAACAACCTCCTGGTTTTGAAGATTCAAAATTTTCAGATCATGTTTTTAAATTGACAAAAGCTCTTTATGGTTTAAAACAAGCTCCTTGAGCTTGGTATAAAAGATTGTCAAACTTTTTAATTGAAAAAGGTTTTTCAAAAGGGAAGGTTGACACTACATTGTTTTTAAAGCATAAAGGTAAAGATTTGTTAGTAGTTCAAATTTATGTTGATGATATATATTTGGTTCTACTAATGATGTTCTTTGCCAATAATTTTCTAAGCTAATGCAAAGTGAATTTCAATTTATGTTGATGATATAATATTTGGTTCTACTAATGATGTTCTTTGCCAATAATTTTCTAAGCTAATGCAAAGTGAATTCGAGATGAGCATGATGGGTGAGCTCTCATATTTCTTGGGAGTCCAAATCAAGAAAAGAAAAGATGACATCTTCATCAATCAAGCTAAGTACGTCAAGAACATGCTCAAGAAGTTTGGACTGGAAAATGGGAAACCTCACGACACTCCAATGAGCTCATCAACAAAGCTTGACAAATATGAATGAGGTAAATGTGTGGATGTTAAATTATATAGGTTAATGATTGGCTCTTTACTTTATCTAACCGCAAGTAGACCAGACATTACGTTAAGTGTTTGCTTATGTGCTAGATTTCAATAATGTCCTAAGGAATCACATTTACTAGCTGTTAAGAGAATCTTTGGATACCTTAAGGACACTCCTAGTTTAGGACTTTGGTATCCTAGAGACTCTAGCTTTAGTTTGCATGCCTTATCTAATGCGGATTATGGAGGATGCAAATTAGATGGGAAAAGCACCTCTGGTACTTGCCAATTCCTTGGAAATATGATGATTTCTTGGTTTTCAAAGAAACAAAATTGTGTTGCATTATCTACCACTGAAGCGGAATACATTTCAACCGGTAGTTGTTGTGCACAAGTTTTATAGATGAAACAACAACTTTTTTATTATGGAGTTGAAGTAGGTATCATTCCTATCAAGTGTAACAATACTAATGTTATTTGTCTCACTAAAAATCCCATCCAACACTCTAGAATTAAGCATATTGAAATTAGACATCACTTCATTAGAGACCATGTCACTAAGGAAGATGTAGTTCTAGAATTTGTTGATACTTTGCACCAATTAGCGGATATCTTTACAAAACCTTTAGACAGAAAGATTTTGGACACTTAGGAGAGAATTATGTTTAACTGACCTATCTTCACTTAGTGTTTAAATTAATTTTAGCACTTTTAAGAATAAATGAAAAATGCTTATAATAATAATAATTTTGATTACATTCTTTGCTATTAGTTAGGGGGAGTTTATGATTCTTAGTGAAAATTAATTTTATGTTCAAATGTAGTTTAAGGATAAAATTGATTGATTGAACATGATTAATTTTCAATATATGAGTTGCTAATACCACTAGAGCTATTTAATTTAGCATTCTAAGTGTTTAAATCAGATTTGGAGAGAATTATGTTTAACTGACCTATCTTCACTTAGTTTAAATTAATTTTAGCACTTTTAAGAATAAATGAAAAATGCTTATAATAATAATTTGATTACATTCTTTGCTATTAGTTAGGGGGAGTTTATGATTCTTAGTGAAAATTAATTTTATGTTCAAATGTAGTTTAAGGATAAAATTGATTGATTGAACATGATTAATTTTCAATATATGAGTTGCTAATACCACTAGAGCTATTTAATTTAGCATTCTAAGTGTTTAAATCAGATTTTTAGCATTTTGGTGCAAGAGGAATCGATACCCCTTTGAAGGGGAACCGATTCCCCCTGGAGAGAATCGATACCCCCACGGGGTCTGTTAATATATGCCAAAATAAACCCTTTTTGCCTCAAACTCTTTCTTCTCTCTTTATCGTCGTTCACTCTCTCTATCTCCCTAAATCTTTACATTGCTTCAAAACATCGATTTCTAATCGGAATCACTTTGTATTTCATCTCCTAAACCTGCTAGAATCATTAAAATCGTGCAAACTTCATCCAATCTCACTCAAATATGAAAATATTCAAGGTATTTTTCTAAAACTTCTATTTTATTAAATTTTAATTTTAGGACTAGTTTTAATTAGTTCTAATTTGAACATTATATCGGGCATTGATTGTTTAGTGTTTAGAAACTAGATTTTACAACAAATTTCATCAAATGAAAAAATTTCAATTTTCTTTGAATTTCGAAAAAAAAAAAAAATAGTTTTCGAAAATTATTGTTATTTTTTATTCAATTATGTTGTCTTTCATGAAAACTACACATCTTAAGACTTTCAAACGTTATTTTTTTCAATAGTTTTCAAAATTTTGCCCATTAAGATTGTTTTAGAGAACATTGAAATATTGAGGACTCATTTGAGTTTTGGGATTGATATTTGTTGCATACATGTGTTTTAAAATTGTAGGTTACTCTTTCCATTCCGATTCTCTTAAGTCATGTCTCACAAACGTTCTAGGTCTTCCTCCAGTCGATCTAACCAACCACCAAACTCACCTCCAAATCCTCCTCATATCCAACAAATTCATAATCCTAATCTCGATGATCCTAATATGACCATTCGTAATTCATGCTTCAATGAACCCGGTCGTAGATAAAATCTTTCCTTTAGGTATTCTCAATACTTTGAGTCTTACAAAATTTGGGAAGAACGAATCCCATCTCTTCAAGCTATACTAAACATAAATTTTCGACATCTTCCTACCCTTCAAGAGTGTAAATTTGATTAACTCTTC